TTGATAGCTAATGTATAAAATTGCTGTAACTTCCAAAGATGTGTAAGAAACTGACTGTTCTATTTGTCATTGTGTAGCCTAAATTGTTACAACTATCAATGTACAAAAGAAAATATATCCTATGGTAACAAGGTGAATTAATGCCTATGTTACTTTATTAGCATCTGTCAAAGTAGAAATAGACTTTACTTCCTGTGATTTCTGTCATTGTGGTTAGATATTTTAGGAGTGCATTACATTGTGACTACACCTATTATGCTCAATTAGCATTTATTGAATTTGATCTTCATTAGCTATCTAACATATTTTCTTAGAAATCAATACTATTTATCACAGTTAATAATGTGTCAGTTTTTATTCTTTGAAAATAAACATAAAATGAAGATGGCATATTTAATAATAAACTAAGTAGAGTCTGCCTAGAGAAAAGGCTGTATTAAAATGAGGCAAACTTTGAGTTTTCAATCAGTGTCAAGTCAAGTCTTTATTCACTTTGGTTACAGAGGACACAAGGCCTTGGGGCAGCCCGTTTCCCCAGGCACCCTCTGCAGAATAGATCACTGTGCGCATAAATAGCAATGCTGCCCAGCGATCCCAGAGCTATTCTATTTCACTGCCGTGTGGCTTGGCAGTAAGAAGTTCTTGACATGTTTTCATCTTAAATGGGGTTTCCCTTTGGAGTTAAGCAGTTTGCCTTTCATAATCATGAAACAAAACTCTGTTGACTGAGCCATGGGTTTATCACCTAATTTCTTGCTTAATCATCTCTTAGTCTCTCTTTTTTTTATCAGGTGGTTTACATAGCCCTCCAGGCCTCCTTGCATGTGATGGACAGTGCCCAGGAAGCTGGTAAAAATACCATGAGAGTGGAATGGATGCCTGTATCGACAGCACACAGACCCCATTGTACAAATGTGGTGAACTGAGTGTGGCGTGGTTCTTGCAACTTGCATACTGCCCCCTTCTGGGCAAGCTGACTGTGGGATTGTGGCCCAGAGGAATAAGACGTTTAAGAAAGCTGTGGAGAAACTACATATAATTCAGCCGTCTGCATCGAAAGTGATCTCACATTGAGAGGTTAAGACGTGGGCTTTACAATTTGGAAGAGAAATGGATAAATAAGAGCAGACTATTTCAGGCACACAAAGGCCCAGTGTGAGGAAAATTGAAAATTGTTTCCTATCTCCACACACAAAGATCAGAAAGTAAGGAGCTTTAGTGGTTTGGGGGAATTTAATACAAGCTATCACTGAAGGTCATTTGAAGACCTCAGATTCTTTCTTATATTGGAGAAATGCTTGTACTCTCAGGACTGGGGCCAGCAATGGGAGAAAAACATATTCCATTCCCTGACTTTCCTATGAGGGTAGCTGGAAATGATAAAGATAGTTATCATTAGCATATTTTAATAATAATTATAACAACATTGACAATACTTACTGACCTACTATGTGTGAGGCACTATTTGGGGGGCTTTAACTCATTTAATCTTTGCAACATTGTGAGACACGTATCCTATTATTATCCTCATTTTCGACAGGAGGAAACTGAGACTCAGAAGGTTTGTGTAAATGACTAAGCACACCTAGCTGATAAGAACAGATCCAGAAAGTCTAATTCCAGAAGTCTTTCAGCTATCAGCTATACTGCCTAATATTGTTTTTCTCCTCAGGCTATTTCTCACTAATAGGCACATCAAGATTCAGAGAAGGAAAAGCCTCTCAAGTTTTTGACAGAGGAAAGGTGAATAGCAGATAATCAGAGCATCTAAATTAATCTAAATTGGCATAAGTGATAAAAATCAAGAAATGCTAGGAAGTCTTTGAAAGGTATACCATTATGTAAAAAAACACGAATACATCTGTATGTCAAACAATGATAAAACAATACTCTTAACTTACTTGTAACAGAAAAACGGGGCTCAAAATTCAAATTCTTAATTCGTCATGCACAATTTAAGAATTTATAATCTTATAATTTACATCCAGGAAAAAATTTTAAAATGCTATTATAAAACTAAAGTACAACTTGTGGGATATATATATATATATATATATATATATATATATATATTTATTTATTTATTTATTTTTTACAA